AGTTAAAAAGGTGAGTTTTTAAAGCTGCCTTAAAATCATCAATGGAAGTTGCCTGTCGGATTGTAATAGGCAGAGCATTCCAAAGAAAGACAGAAGCCCAAGAGAAAGAACGACTACCATAATGCTTTTGGTAGTCACCAGTTTTTTGTACACCAGTGAGTTAATTTTACAGGCTACATTTTATTTAAACTAGTGTACATTTTCATATACATATTATATAATTATAAATCGCTGTTTCTACCATCATTCGAAAACATGTCAATCAATTAATCAATCAATCAATCAATTTCATTTATATTATCAATAATTTCAGATGTATGTGATTAAATAATAAATTATAGGCCCTTATATAACATATAGGTCTAATACTCTAATATTTATCATTATCATGGTGAACCGTATATTTCTTGTAGTTTGTCAGACATAATAACCTACGTTAAAAGAATCAACAAATATTAAAGTCTTCTGCGCTTACTATAATAATTGTGCGGCATAAAAATGGCCTGTTACATGCAGGTCAATTGAAGTAGCTGATCCGAAAACTGTATGTACATGAACGCTGTATATGGAGGCTTGTCAGATATCGGTGCATAACACAACACACAAATATTATTGTTATATCACTACGCCGAGTCTACAGTACTTAGTATTTTTTTTTGTATATATACGTGATAGGCCTACATTTTACGTTTAGGTATTCGGCAGACGATCGCTAAATAACAGCAAGTAATTAAAACGCTTATTTAGTTACTTAAATATTATTTAAGTAGACTATTAATCGGGTTTAGAAAACGTTTTATTCTCCGATAAAAAGAATAACTTTCGAAAACATATAAATATATAAAATGAGTTGGCAATCCAGAGATCAACCACAGTATGAGCTTTGAATTGTTAATTTCTATGTTATTGTTGAAATCGAATTATAAGTATTTTTAAGTATACATAATCACAATAAGGGTTAATTAATCAAAATAATATATAAATTTGTGATGTGAGTAGGCATTTAAAAGAATTTGAACATCTAGCCTCACTTATATACTAAGAGTCTAGTGTCTACAGTGAACACAAATGTGACCTATTCGCATTAGTTATCGTTATATGATTGAAACCTTTCATTTCATACTTACAACACTCAATCAATAATTTTATCGATTAATAGTAATTCAATAAAGTATGTAAATCCTCCTCATTTTTTTTCTTTAGTCGTAGAACGAAGATTACCTTACAAACTGTAATTGTCCTAATTGTTTTAGCAATATGTGAAGTTGGATTAATAGTCTGGATGGTATGCTTAGGCCTGCAGTGGTTTAAAGACAGTGTTCAGACAAACACATCATCTTACAATTAACATGGCTATACAGAAAATACATTATTATTATAAGACATCGAGCTGAAGTGATATTTCCAGTCAAGGATTTTGAATGTTATGTTCCTTTAATATGCCACAACGAACGATTGTTTTATCTTTTTTTAAGATGCGAGCTAATAGACTGTAATTAACCTAATTGTTTTAGCAATATTTGAAGTTGGATTAATAGTCTGGATGGTGTGCTTAGGCCTGCAGTGGTATAAAGACAGTGTTCAGACAAACACATCATCTTACAATTAACATGGCTATACAGAAAATACATCATTATTATAAGACATCGAGCTGAAGCGATATTTCCAGTCAAGAATTTGGAATGTTATGTTCCTTTAATATGCCACAACGAACGAGTGTTTTATACTTTTTTAAGATGTGAGCTAATTGACAATATTAAAGAAAGGGGCATACAATTCAAATAGAGACACATACGCTACTCTGGTATTGAGAAGCCTCTTCCAGTGACTATAACTATATAAATATGTTGGCCACTGATAAGAAATATAAGCCATGTTAAAATATCAATGTGGCTAAAAGTCCGGTACCTGATTCGTTGTCATTAATTATCTTCTATAATAATAATAATAATAATAATAATAATTATAATTAATAACAAACAAACTTAACAAATTACA